TGTTGCTGTTGCTGCTGCTGCTGGTGTTGTTGTTGTTGTTGTTGTTGCTGCTGCTGCTGCTGCTGCTGCTGTTGGTGGTGGTGGTGGTGGTGGTGCTGCTGCTGCTGTTGTTGTTGTTGCTGTCGTTGTGGTGTTTGTTGGTGGTGGTGCCGGCTGTGGTGATGGTGGTGGTGTTCATGTTGCTGGTGTTCGTGGTGTTGGGGTTGCTTGTGCTGAAGACAGGAAGGACGCTGATGAAAATCACCAAGACGAGCATGATGATCGGAGGGCAATGATGGCGCTGGCGATGCCAATGCTGATCGAGATGTGGTTGCCCCTGTTGCTGCCGGGGACGACAGCGATCAATCTCAATAGGGTTTTGATGATCACAATGGTGCGGCTGATTTTGCTGCTGATAAAGATGATGAATGGTGCTAAAGGCCACAACCGTTCTGATGTGCGGATGAAGACGAAAATGCTGCAACGTGACAATGAAACGCCTCGAGGCCTTCCATAGTCCCGCTCGCCTACAAGCCTATTCTGAAGGATGTTGCTCCTCTCCATACAGCCTTCAGGGTCGGTGAGCCTTCAGCAAGTCCTTCAGCAGCTAGTGCTCCTGCAGCTATTGGGCCTGGATTCGCAACTCTGCATCTGAAACTGAGCTAAGGCCACATCGGAATGAACTAGTCAGCCGTGATTGTATTCCTTAGGGCCTTAGGGCTCATTAACCTGAGTCGAATCAGTCAACTGTGCTGCTCGCAGGCGATGCGCAGCGCGCATGAGGATTTGGCGAACCGGCTGGACAGCGTGTCTCAGGAGTCTGCCTCTTTCAGAGATTGTTGTAATATAGGGTTTAGGGTTTAATATAGGGGCCTCAATAGTTACCTATAATTTTTGGGCGGAGGCTCCTTATGATAATTACACTATCAAGGACCCCCCCCCAACCCTATTCTAATCACTAAGGCCCCTATATTACGAAGGTTGATGCTTTCATCATTAGAACAAGGTTCCTTCAAGGGGTTGCTAGGGTTACTAGAACTGTTTGAATAAGAGCTCAGTGCTTGGAGGCATCGGGGACTTAGTAAGTAGGTTATAAGTAGAGTTATAAGTACCCTAAATGGAGTTACCCCAATTATAACCCTACTTATAACCGACTTACTAAGTCCCCTGGGCCTCCAAGTATAGGGCCTTAATAGTTGGAGTAGGGTTTTGTGGCTTATGTTTGGACATAGGTCTATTTGGTAACTATGAGGGGATGCGGGCTTCGATGGTTGATTTTCCAGACCCCTATAACACGAGGATCTTTATCCCTAATCCCTAAACCCTAAACCCCTAAACCCTAAACCCCTAACCCCTAACCCCTAAACCCCTAAACCCTAAAGCCTACTTTATCCAGAGGCAAGTTTGAACTTGTCATCTTACGGACCACAAGACTCGTCGTCGTTGAGTGCAGTGGATGGAGGTCCATAGGTCCGACCCAGGACACTTTAGGGCTTCGGGTGTTGAGCTTGGGGTTTAGAATTTAGGGTTTCGGGTTTTGAGTCTAGGGTTTTGAGTTTGGAGTTTTGAGTTTAGGGGTTAGGGTTTTGAGTTTAGGGTTTAGGGTTTTGAGTTTACGGTTTAGGGCTGACGATTACTTACCACGACGAATCCTTCAGGTTCCTGTAATACCCCGAAACCCTGTTCTAACGATTCTGGCCGCTATAGTTTGTTAGTGGACTTGCTTCTGCTGCTTGTTCTCCGATCCTTCGCTACTACTACTACTACTACTACTACTACTACTAAATGTCATCACTTGTTGACCCTGTACTTTGTTAACTATGCTCACTCCTATGCCAACTGCTGAGAGAGTCCACACCGACTCCGTTAGCGCGGTGCTACTACTGCCTTTTCAGCGAGCAATACAAAGACTGCTGCTCCTTGTACTACTGCAGTACTGAATTACCAGGTCGACTTGCTACGGTTGATGGACAAAATCCTGCATGACCTTATATACCTAAACCATGGGATTTATGGTATTATATTATATTTGGGTCATGCAGAATTTTGTCCATCAACAGTACCATTGCGCAAGTTCGGCAGGATGTCATCGTGTCAGAAGCCGCTGCACCCCTGGAGGACCGCACAGCGAGCCTCTCTTTGTCTCGGAACCTTCCTTTTTTAAGAGTCGGACTCCTGCATCATGACTACAGTTGTTAGGGTTTAGGGTAAAATGTTCAAGGTCTATTGTTGGGCAACTTGTGTGTCTTGCAAGGGACGACTGGAACACTTGGAGTCCCGTCCAGCTCAACAGGCACCAGTCATCCTCTGTGTACGTGCATCATCTAGGACGACGTCTTTCACAGTGTGCTCGTTCATCGGCTTCGTAGCCCAACCTTGCAATCGTCTTGTTCGTTCCGATCTCAAACTTGACGTGCGCCTAAGCAGGCAGCAGGCAGCTAGCGCTCACGCCAAGCACCCATGCCCCGGCTCCTTTCTCACCGCTTTAGGGTTTAGGGTTTAGGGATAGATGTCAACAGACAACTGGCGTAGGCTGCTGGGGAGGATGAGACTCCGGACGAGACTCTGCAGAGGCCTTCTGTGCGGTTATGGACTTCGATGTAGGCATAAGCAGAGCTTCATCACTGACTGCCGTACGCCAACTTCCCAAGCTGTGCTTCGGGCCTCAGGTGACGGTATGACCTTGGGATGTTGTCAAGGACATTGTTGCCGGATAGTTTTGGCGTGCTCTACATCGTGAAATCTCAGGTGTCATCGCATTCTCCGGCATAGGATTATCGTATGCCATTGTCAAACCGCGCAGATTCCGTAAAGCATAAACCCCGAGCCCTAAACCATCCTAAACCCCAAATCCTAGAACTGTCAAAGCAATAGGGTTCAAAGGTGTACCGTTCGGCAGGCCGAGCGGGCTTACACCTGACGACCAGGAAGACATGCCCAAGGCCTCGCATGGGCTTTGGGTGTACGGTGTTGGGGACCCTGCCTGGCCTTTGAGCTGTATGAAGGACATTTTCAGGTGGGTAGTTACCGTTATGGCAGCCTCATAAAAGGTCTATATACCTTATAGGAGCCTCTTAGAAGCCTTATATACCCCAAACTCCCCACCTGTAGTTTACTTTAACTACAGAAGGCTAGCATTTGCTGGGGTTTCTGGCGTCTTTCATGTCGACGAGTGTGGCAGCCGGAAGATTTGGGATACCCATGGACTTGCAGACGTTTTAGGGTTTGGGGTTCAGGGTTTAGAGTTTAGAGTTTGGGGTATCCGCCCGTGTGCTCTTCAGACGTTTTGACCTGTCCAAGGTGAATCGGAAACCAGACGCTGTCTTTACGGCTTCGTGGCAGCATGGGCGCCAACCACAATGCCTGCGACAGCAATGATATGCATGAGCACCGAGCAGTACGAAAGTCAAGAAAATGCTGTATGTTCTGCAAGAAGGAGGTGGTCTACCACAGTTCGTTCCGATCTTTCGTTGGTGCGGGCATTATCCTCAAGTGTGGTCCCTGTAGGCTATTTGGGTACGAGTGGCTACCCTTCGGGACTAGAGTACTCAGCCAATGAGGCCTGATTGGTACCAATGAGGCCCACAAGGCAGGATAATATTGAAGCCTAAATAGTTACCAACAGTATTTTGGGGGGTTACGTACATGTTACAATTATAGTAGAATATACCTCAAACCCCAATTCAAATTATTAAGGCCCCAACATTAAACCCTTGTGCTACCATTACCGCAACCCTTAAAGGAGCCCTTTTAAGGGACCCTGTTCAAATTATTAAGGCCCCGACCTTACAGTTGCAACCCTCTTTCTGTCCGAGGCTGACGAGGCCTCGCTGGCCTTCCTTGCCTTGGGTGTTTACCTGGACCCTAAGGAACCTATCTTGTGAGGGCTCTTTAATATGATTTCCGTATATAAGTCCTTAAGACAGGTAGGTTAGTTGGAGCTAAGGTAGGGTTCAAGATAGGGCTGGGGAGAAGTAGGAATGTTGTTCCTTTGTGCTCCTTATTAGAAAATGTATTATAACATTAACATTGACATACCCCTAAACCCTATTCTCATTATAAAGGCCAGTGTTTTATGACCCCATATCTTAGACTTTAGGGCGCAGGACTTCGGAAGCGTGTCTCCAGCCAAGGAATCAGAAGCTGATGACCAGCCGTTGCCACGGAGCTGCAGAACAGATGGTGACGGAGGGGTCGGAATGGTTTTAGTATCGTGACCGTAGTGAATGTGCCCCCAAACTCTGTTCCAATTATTGCTAGTTGGCCATATCCAAGCTTTCATGTAGCAGTTAACTGGACCGCACCCGAATATCCCAAAACCGAAGCTCGAAACGCTGAACCTCCGAGAGTCCGGTACTCGCCTTCCGTGACACGCAGGGAGCAGCACCTCAACTCGCTGCAGAAGGCCTTGGGCAAGGCGAGCCGGTGAGAGAGAGAGAGAGACCACGGAGGGGTGAGACCTGCCCCTTCTCCATAGCTCGAAGCAAGCAAGCAAGCAAAAGCGATCGAGTCAACAAGGGCTTCGGGAGCGCGGCTTAAGCCTCAGACTGTGATTGCTTTTCCCTTTTCCGTTCGGGCTCCCGTAGAGAGCAAACTTTGCACTTAGCTACAGAGAACATGACCAAACCATGATCGTCGGGGGGTTCATCTCTTCCTGATTAGCTTGTCAACCTTCTTGTTTTCGCTGCATCCCATACCTTTCTTTTCTTCGCTCTTTCCCCGCATGTGCTGCCCCTCTCTTTCTTAACCCTAAACCCCAGACCCAAAACCCCTCTTTCCCTGTGCCCTTCACCTAAGACCCTGTTACCCTTTATCCAAAACCCCAACACTTGCAACCCTATAGCCCTGGACACTAAAACCCCAAAACACTAAACCTTATCTATGACCCTTGACCCTAAACCCCAAACCCGAAACCTTCGCACCCTCTACCCTAAACCCGGAAAACCCCTGTTACCCTTTACCCTAAACCCTGAATCCGAAACCCTAAACCCCAAACCCTAAATCCTAAACCCTCAACCCTAAAGCCTAAATTCGACAAGAAGAAGCGCCGAGGCCCGGGGTGATCTGCAGGTTGCCCGGGATCACCTCGAGGTCGCCCGAGACGAGTGCCGGAGAATCTGGACCTCCTTTAAAGGTGTTAGGGGTTTATAGGGTTTAGGGATTGCAGGTTTTAAGGGTTTAGGGATTTCAGGATTTAAGGGTTTAGGGATTTCAGGATTTAAGGGTTTAGGGATTTCAGGGTTTAAGGGTTTAGGGGTTGCAGGGTTTAGGGTTTACATAGGGGTTTAGGGTGTAGGGGTTTGTAGGGTTTAGGTTTAATATTCAGGGTTCGAGGTTTAGGGGTTTATAAGGCTTCGGGTTTAGGGATTTCAGGGTTTAGGGGTTTGTAGGGTTTAGGGCTTTGGGTTAAGGGGTTTATAGGGTTTAGGGTTTAGGGACTTTAGGATTCCTTTTTAAGGGTTCCCTTTGTTCAGGGCTCCTTTTCGGAGTTATTTAATACGTATTCCTTGAAGAGTTCCTTTTGGGGGTTCCTTTTTAAGTATTCCTTTTAAGGGCTCCTTTTAAGGCTTCGTTTGAGGGGTTCCTTTGAAGGTTCCGTTAATTCAAGGTTCTTTTATCCGGGTTCTTGATGGTTCTGGTTAAAGAGTTTAGTGTGAAATACCATAATTGGGATCCATGCGAAGTAGTATGTTTCCCGTTTCACTATTAGGGTAACTTAAACCAATCTCCATAGCAAGAACCCAGGAACGGAGGACAGGGTCAGCGAAGAGGCCGAGCACCTCCGCAAGAACGACGTGGTTGAGGCCCGGGGGAGTCCGGGGTGAACCTAACCATGTTCCAGTCTAAGATCTCTTACAAGACCTCCTTGATGAATAACCTCCTGCCCGCATTATGTCTATTGCTCAGGGCACCGTGGTACTAGTAAGAGCTAGTGCCCCTTTGATTGAAAGCAGCAACAGCAACAGCAATAGCAACATCAGCGGCTGCACCAGCAACATCAGCAGCGGCAACAACTTTGCCTCGACCACCACCACCACCACCACCACCACCACCAACAACAACAACAACAACAGCACCACCAGCAACAGTAACTTCAAGACCAATGGCAACGCCATCCGCGACAGCAGAAGCAGCAGCACGAGTAGCAACACTAGCAGCACCAGTAACAACAGCAACAACAACGGCAGCCTCAGCATCAACAGCATCAGCTAGACCACCATCAGCAGCAATATCTTCATCAGCAGCAACAGCAGCAGAGCAGCAATAAAGCAAAAGCAGGAGCACCAGCAGCACCACCAACAACAGCACCAACAACTCCACCCCCGAACCACCACCAACAACAACAACATCACCACCACCGCCAACAGCAACAACAGCAACAACAGCCACAACAACAAACATACAGTAAACCACAATCAAACAGTTAACAAACGACAGGCAGCAGCAACAACACCAACAACCACAACAACGACTACAGCAGCAAGAAAGCATCAGCAGCAGCAGCAGCAGCAGCCGCGGCAGCAGCAGCAGCAGCAGCAGCAGCAGCAGCAGCAGCAGCAGCAGCAGCAGCAGCAGCGCAACCACTGCCATCGACACCAACAGCACAACCACCAACACCACCGACACCACCACCACCA